TCCAGAGCTTTTCCATGGTCAGTGAGTGCGTAATGTTCTGTGAAGGAGAACGGTCTGACACCTCCTGACCTTCCTGTAGGGCTGCAGGGAGGCAAGGAATCCTATAATCACAGGATGGTGCACTGCTGCTGACCGACACCATGTGAGCTGGTTGGTGACATCAGGATTGGAGGCTGCCTGGCCTCTTGTGACCCTGCGATGCTGGAATTCGCAATCCTGAAGGATATGGGGCAAAGTGTAAAATCAGGATGCTGAATTTTAGGAAAGCCAACCTTGAGCTCTTCAGGGAGCTGGTCAGCAAGACCCCCTGCAAAAGCATCTGCAGGGGTAAGGGAGCGGAGCAGAGCTGTCAGATCTTTAAGGCAGCTTTTCTTCAGGCTCTCCATCCCCGGGTGAAAGAAGTCAGGAAAGAAAAGCAAGAAACCGGCAGGGCTGAATCAGGATGTGCTGGTCAAACTGGGCAACATGGAGAAAATGCTGGGCAGTGGGAGCAGGGACAGGTACTCTGGGGGGAACATAGGTGTGCTGCTGGCTGTGTAGGTATGGGGTCGGGAAGGGCAAAGCCCAACTGGAACTGGGCTTGGCATGAGTGAAAGAAGAACAAGAAAGGCTTGTACAGGTATGTAAACCAGAAAAGGAAAGTCCGAGAATGGGGTACTAATGGGTACAGAACTGCAACGTGGATGTGGCACTGGGTCCTGCTGATGTCTCCCAGTGCTCCTCCCAACCCCACGCGCAGCTCTCAGGCTTCTTAGCCTGGATCCCTGTCCTGTTAGCTCAGGATCCCTGCACCAGTGGTAATGCAGCTGTGGTGGGCATGAGTGGACCAGGAGGGAGTAGGGGTTGGGAGGGTGCTGGGCTTCTGACAAGGGGCAGCTGGGCACTCTGACGTGCAGCATTTTTCTGATTCCACGGTGAAGGTGAGTGCATTTCCTCAGCAGCACTGAGGGGGTGAGGTTTTTTGAAGACATACGCCTAAAACCAGCAGCAGTACACACACTTGGACAGCAAAATGGAGATGTCACCCCTGCTGCCACTGCAGGGCATGCTCTGCTCCCTTCCTAATAAGAAATCTTAGAGACTTTGACCCCAGGGCTTTCAAATCCTTGGGGATATTCTGCTGTATGAGAAGAGTGAAAGGAAGGATGGAGCTTCTGGTGTTCCAGCTGGTGTCCATTGCCCCCATCGCCCCTGAGCACTGCTGAAAAGAGCCTGACTCAATCCACTTCACTGCTGCCCTTTAGATGCCTACAAGCATTAGTAAGATCCCCTCTCAGTCTGCTGAATGGTCCGAGGTCTCTTAGCTTTTCCTCATAAGGGAGCTGCTCCCAAAATCGATCGTCTTTGTGGCTCTCTGCCAGACTCTTGCCAGCAGTTCCCTGTTCTCACCAGTGCAGAGTAAAGAGGGAGGATCACCTTCCTCAACCCGATGCCCACGCTGTATTTAATGCACCCCATTGACCTTCTCGGCCACAGGGGCAGGCTGCTGGCTCACAGCTCACCTGTTGACCACCAGGTCGTCCAGGTCCTGCTCCTCAAAGCTCCTCTCCAGCAGATCAGCCCTAACCTGTACTGACAACAGTGCTGCCTTTGGAGCCTTTTTCAGTAACTCCCACAATTATCTCCTCCATCATTTTGCAGTTAGCGCTCTCTTCTGTTCCACATAAGGCAAGATTCGGGAGAGTAGAATTAATAATTCAGGGGGTTTTGTAGCTGAATTTCAAAGAGGGAACTTCAAATCGTAGCTGTTCTGACATGGCTTGGTAAAAAAAAGTCAAAAAGTGCCACCAGCAGTGATTCTCCTACAGGAAATGGAGTGGTGAACCGGAGAAGTCAGGAAAGTGGAAGTCAGTTTTCATCAGCAATATCCAGAAAATGAAAGGGAACAGGAGGGGTTGAATCAGTTCTGCAATCAAGGTCGGGTACCCAAACATGGACTGGGGTTGTATTTCTGTGCTCTCAGCCACCATTCTCTGCTGTGCTCACAAAGCCATCTCCCAGTTAACACACAATGGGATGCAGCTCCTTTACATTGATTGCTCCTACTGGCTGCACTGCATTAAACCACGGTTAAACCTTGTCTGAGCAAGGAGAATGCTTTTCAGGGTGTTTCTAAGACGAGTTTCTTATGAAGCTTTTCCTCTGCTCAAGGGATACGCGAGGTTTATCTGCACACAAAGCCACAGGTGGCTGATCAGGCTGGGGCTCCAGCTGAAGCTCTTCCAACATCTGGGGTATTGCAGGCTCTGTGTCCTGTGAGGACGTATAGGTTGGTAATGAGGCAGGAACTGATTTTGAAGATTCTTGCAGATTCGGGGCACCTTTATGGTCTGTCACTTCTGTGGATGTGCTTATGGGAGCTGGGCTTAGAACTGCTCGTATTGGCCTTCCCACACCCATTGCACTTAAAGGTCAGACTCCACTGTGAATGTGATGGTAGTGGGTGAGGCTGGAACTGCTTGTGAAACCTTTTGTCCACTCATTTTCCTTGGGTCCTGCTTTTAAAAAGTGGCTTCCTATGACCTAATAAGCAATGCAAATCTTCCAGACTGGGGAAAAGGGGATGGCAGCGAGT